ACACCAAATCCGGTCGTTGGTACTTCCTGGCTTGTGTGCCACTAGGTAACAAAAGCTCAACACTGCGCCCAGCATCCTGGAGCACCATAAATATACTTTATTTATTCACTCCACATAAAATTTTATAAATAAATCATATAATTCAAAAAACATTTATTCACATTTCAACTTTTAGCTATTTAAATTTTCAGCATTTTCCTTTTAAACAATTTTAAAGTGAAACAACACAAAACACTGCAAACCACAACACAATTAAATATAAATTACAATATGAAAACAAAAAGAACATGCATATTCTCTGTCATATGCGCCTGCATAAATAAAATTCTGAATCCTTTATCAACTGAAAATAGTTGTGGATGATCACTATACCTTTCTAATGTGACGTTGTTGTCCCGGCTCTCTTTCTCTTTCTCTCCCTCCCACTCTGTTTCTGTGCTACTGCGAGTGTAACTACCGCCCCTACCCCCTCTTTCAGGTCCCCTCTTTAGGTCAAAGGGGCAGATCCAGCCAAAGCCCTTCATTCTTCAATGGAGGGAAGGCTAATCAACGGCGTAGCAAACAACCCGGAGCTGTACGACCCCAGCTGCTTTCTGTACCGAGACAGGAATATAAAGGACCGAGCTTGGAGGAAGATATGTGAAGAGATCGGGCAACCTGGAAAGTTCATTCATTTCTCTTTTTAAATTTTTGACTGACCGTAATAAATAAATCTGTAATAAACTCTCTTTTCCAAAGATGAGTGATTTCTTGATCAGATAGATTTATTTTTTTTATTATTTTGTTGTTTCAGCAACATTAAATTTAAAAACTGTACTTTTGAGTTAAAATATATATTTATAATTTTAATGAATGAAAAATTTAAAAAGGCATGAACATTTTTTTGTATCGAAAAAATATCGAACCGTGACACCAAAGTATTGAACCGAACCGAACCGTGAATTTTATCGTTGCACCCCTAGTGGTTATGTGGTGGTTATATCTTTTACTAGAGCAATGTTATTCTCTCAGTGTAATGGAACATTTTGTATTCCTTTACTTTGTACAGTTTTACAAAAAAGAAAGAGAGAGAGACTTTATTTTCATCATTAAATCCTGCCAAACACAACAAGTAGCCTGTTTCTTGGAGGATGAGGTGCTGTGAATAAAGAATGTTAAGCTAGCTGTATAGCTGAAATTATGTTGCCTGCAACAAACTTTAGTGAGAACAGCATATAGAGTAATTAACCATTTAGCTTTGACACCACACCCATGCAGTCAATTGGCTTCCTAACAACATTCAATCAGCATAAAAAGACTCCAAGGAACAGGGCACTTGAAAACATGAGAGGAACTACTATTACTCACTAGCGGTTATTGATAGGGCCACATGGGCGGTTGCCCAGGGCGACATCGTGGTGGGGGTGGCATCACAGGCATCTCCAAAAAAAAAGTTGCTGGTACTCATACTGCCCCGACATCAGCGAGCGTTTTGGAGATGGCATAGGCACCGGTCGGTTTTCTGCCGCCCATTTGCTGGGAGTAAGGGCGCCCTCCATTTGCGAGGTGCGCCTGCTGCTTGCGGCACAGGGAGGAGAGGGTGGGGTGGCAGGGGATTCGCTGGCTGGAACAACATCTAATAACCAACTCGCAAAATAAAACAAAATAAAAACAAACAAACAAACACCAAAGCAGCAGACATTATGATACAGATTTTTATGATACACGTTTTTTTTTTTTCGAAATTCGATAAAGAGAGCACGAGAGCCCTCGGTACGCCTGCTTGCTGCTGTGCTGAAGTCAAAGTAAACTTTATTGTGACCTCTGCTATATACAGGCGAGGCCCAAGTTACATCAGTGCAAGTAAACAAACAATAAATATAAGAAGAGTAAGAAAATAAATATATACTTTAGGACTAGGAGTAAAGGGATCAATAACAATTTAAAATTTATAATTTACAGCAGAGATGTGCAGTAACGCAGTAACTTGTAATGTGTTAGTGTAATCCGATTACTTTTTTCAAGTAATGAGTAAAGTAAGGGATTACTATTGCAAAAACGGTAATCAGATTACCGTCACTTTCCCGCAGGAACGCTGCGTTACTGCGTTACTAAAACCGTGATTTTAGTAGAATGTCTCATGACAGTGACGTTCGCAAGTGCGACGTTCGTGACAACAGCTGTGTGCAGATCAACAATGGATAATATATCGAGTGCGGGAGAGAGTATGAGCGTGCAGCGTTTAAAGCGTGGAAGTACTGACCTTACTTTGAGTTTGATTCCATAAAAAGTGACAAAAACATTAGTGTCCGTTGTGCGTGGGAAGAAAACTTCTTTTTACAGTGAAAAAAAAACCCCTAAACTTCCAAGCAAGCACCGAGTGCGCTACGACGTAATGGGAAACTTACAGAGAAACTCGCGGATTCTTCAACTGACCGCTGCTGCACACCTGCACCAGGGTAAACCTCCGCCTACCCTACTCCTGCTTTACAGGTGATAATAGAGCAACAGGACCGCTAGT